CCGCCTCGCCATCCGTTGCCGGTCAAGATGCGGGCGAAGGGCCGCTGCTGATTGCCGACCTGTTTCCGGCGGGATTGCCATCGCTTGCGGCAGGTGCGCCATCGTACGCCTCGGGGGGGCTGCTTGCCGCGCGTCGAGTAAGCCTGCCGCAGCCACCACACGCCATGTTGAAGCCGTTCTTTGTGATGGCACAGCTGAGCAAGTCGATGTCCACGGGCGCGCAGATCACCGAGCGGCTGTACGTTCCCGCGTCTCTATGGCGTCAAGGAGGCGTCAAGCTGCTAGCTGTCGAGACCAAGGTTCGAGCGATCGAGGCATTGATCTCTGGACTTGAGACGGTGGAGCGAGGTGGGGAGGCGTTGTTGTTGCCGCTGGGAAGTGGGGCGGGGCTGGAGACGTCGAACGCCAGCCGGTTTGTTAAGCATCTGGAAGAGTTCGAAGGCACGATGGTCGAGGTGCAGTCGAGCTTGTCGAAGAAGCTGGCGTTTATCGAGGCTCCTGGAGGTGGCGTTGGGATGGGAGGGGGCAAGAAGGGTTTCGCGGGGGGATTTGGACGCTTCACGCGCGGCTTGGATCGAATGACGGGTGGGGTGCAGAGTAAAGTAGATGCAGGGTCTTTGGGGGTGTATATGGATTTGCTCGGGCGGTTGTTGACGCGCACGCGCGTGTTGTCGTCTCACCTCACGTGGATCCTCATTGCGGATGAGGGTATCCCCCCGCCAGCGGCTAGGGTGGTGTCGCCAACGGGTGCTATGCCCAGTCCAACGGGGATCGGGATCGCACAACATAATAGAACGGCGTATTCCGTCCTACCACAACAAATTAGGCAAACGATCCAAGGCAAGCTCACCAAGACCTCCGAGTTCTTTGCCAAGGTCGTCGTGGCTTGGGTCCTCCAGGATCTAGGCAGTCTGTTGGATAGGTCCACCAAGAGAGGAAGCAACATGCTCGAGTAGAGTAATTTATTACCATTGCCAGTGTAAAAGCAGCGGTGTGCGGTGCCAGGTTGTGACGGGGGTTGGTGAAGAGGATGCAGATGCGGAAGAGACTGCGTCTGGTGCGCTGTGAAGAGGAGAGCCCGTTGTGACAAGTGGCCAGTCGCCACGAGTGCCACTTCCTACAAGCCGCAACCGCCGAATCGACGAGCCGCAACCGCGAGAATCGCCGAGCACAAAGCAGTCGTCGGTGTGACCTTGGTCCGACACTTCCTCGCCCCTCCTCCGAGCAGACCGCAGCAGAGTATGCGAGACACAACCCCATATCACTTTGAATCTCAAGGTTGATGACATAAGCACACCATCGCCTTGTCCGCTCCACAGTCCTCTTGATCCTCGCCCAGAAAACCGTCTTCCTTTCAAACGCTCAATGCCACACACACTCTTTGCACACCACCCCTGGACCGTTCGGCTCGTGATTAAATCGCGGCGTTAAGAAGAAAGGGATACGTAGCAGACGGACATGAGGAATAAAGAATAGGAGTGGCTGCCAATCCATCGTATCAACGTCAAAAGGGGCAGGAAAGACAAAAAAGAGACCGCGGGGTATATCTCGCGGCCATCTCTGCAAGGCAGAACGAATCGCCAAAAAGCCACAACGCAAAAGAACATAGGGCTACATCCAAAGGTGGAAGGAGAAAAAAAAAANAAAAAAAAAAGTGTGCACAATCGTACGCCGCACGACCGGCCACAAAACGGTTCCGGGGCACAGATCGACCCAGCCTAGTCCTCAATCGAAGCCCAGTGGTAGAGGCTCGAGAGACTTTGGCCGTGACGATCCCGTCGGCATCGACGGCTTAGTAGTCGTCGCTCCTGCCCGTGCAGCACGAGAGGATGTAGGGCACAATGGCGAGCACGCAGGCGACAAACGCACCCCACGTCATCCAGAGCGCATTGCCGTAGTGCACCACCACGCCGTACTGCACGCCCACCGAGTCGCGCGCCTTGGTGTAGATGGCGGTGAGCAGTGCAGCGCCCACGCCGAGCGTCAGGGCGGCGAGCAGCGCAATGAACGCAGCGCCGAGGAAGGCAAAGCGATGCGAGAGCAGACCCGAGATCCACGAGAGCAGCGCGAGGCACGAGCCGATAAAGATCAGGTACATGGCCGGCTTCGAGTAGTCGCCCAGGTATTTCGAGTCGCGGAACGTCGCCTCGGGCAGGAAGTTCTGGATGCCGTTGCGTGCGTCCTGGGGCGCATCGTTGAGCAGCGCATCGACGGGCAGCCACTCGAAGCCAAAGCTCTTGTCGCTGCACGCACGCGAGTCACCCGAGGGCTGGCCGGCACAGTAGTTGTACAGACCCCACTGGTAGCTCTGCCTGATGCCGTTGCCCTGCGCCACGGGAGCCGCGGGGTTGGCGGCGTACAGGTTGTTGGTGGCCGTGTTGGTCGACGCGAGTGCGTTGCCGAGGTTGCTGGCGTCCACCGAGACGTAGCGGATGTTGCGCGTCACAATGTTGTTGGTCAATTGGCCAATGTTGGCAAAGACCATGAGGATGACCGCGGCAAACGTGAGGAACTCGCCTACATGGATGCAGAACAGTCCAAACGAAGCCCAGCAGTTGCGAACAGTGTACGCAGCGCCGCGAGAGTGGGTGACCGCCATATCGCCGTCGTCGCCACAAGCGAGCGGGAAAGGAAGGAGGGGTGGATAAGAAGGACAGACGAGCGGGTCAGCATGCTGTTCGAGATGGCTTTTAACAGGATCGAGTCGACGACAGGCCTGTGTGCTGCGCGTGCGCGAGAACTCGCAGCCGCAGCACTCGGCGTGGGCGAACTGTGTGGGAGCAAACAGAGCCTTGCCCGCACCGGTTTTCAACCCTGAGCCCGCTGTGAGGCTTGTGCAGCTCTTTGCCCTGGGCCCTAGGTGTTGCTGCGAGCTTAGCTCCCGTGCCACGCGTGTAGCGTATCGGCAGCAAAGGGCCTGGCGTTCCCCGAAGAAGCCCACCGCCTCGTCCGCGTGGGATGCACGCACAGTCGCGTGCGAATTCCGAAAGAGCACAGGTCGCAGCACTGTGCGCATGAACAATGGGAAGAATCGTACGTACCGAGTCCGACGCAAAGGCCTCTGAAAACCATGGTGGGCTAAGGGCGACTGTGTTGTGAGGTGAAGGGGGGTGTAGGTGTGATCCGCTGGTATTCCGGAAGGAGTCGCGAAGATCGTGCGGCGTCGAGGGCGGAGCGACGTAGGGAGGCGGTAGCCAGGATGGTAGTGGTGGTGGTGGTGGTGATGAAGACAGGAACGATGGTGACGAGGGGATAAGAAGCGACGAGGGCAACGAGGCTTATGTGGAGCTCACTTGCAAGGATGGGCGGTATCGCAGTCCATTCATCACTCAGCGAACGGTCGAGAGCGGGCGAGGGAAGGATGACGATGACCTCGACGGGCACTTCTGCCTGCAGAGGATGCGCCGGGGCGGGGCGGGGCGGGTGAGGGCAGGGCAGAGCAGGGCAGATGGGCGCTGCAGGCGGTGCTTGAATTGGCAGACCGCCATGCTTTTTCGGCGGTTGCTTGGCAGGGCGGAGCAGAGCACAGCCAAAGCACAGCACACGGCACAGCTCACCGCAGCGTCGTCGAAAGTGGAGCCGACGAGCATGATGGAATCCGAGCCTCGAAGCCTCGAGCCTCGAGTCTCTCGATGGCGCCGAATCGATCAGACAGCAGCAGCGAGTGCACCCGAGTTGCGTTGAAAGTGGAATGTGCTACTTTTCGCCGGCGACTCGTCTCAGCCCCCAGCCGTCAGCCCCGCGCGACCGGCCCAATGCAGTGTCCATCAGCTTCCCGGGGCTGGGGGCAAGCTTGGCTCTTTCGTCTCAGCAGCGAGCGACGGTGAGGCAATTACGGAAAGAAAAAAAAATTAAAAATGCCACACTGACGATTCGCCCACCAACGCGCTTTTCAGCCTATGACGGAAGCGTCGGCAGCACCCAGACCAGGCAACGCTGCGCAGCCTCGCGTCTGCTGCTAAACATGTAGATCCTTGAGGCAACCTCGAAGCGGGTTGGGGCACTTTTTCAGCCTCTGACCCACAGCAACCCAAAACCGTCGGAGTTGCCGACGTTGAGCGCATTTTTCCCTCGCCGTCGTCCCCCGAACCGCAAAAAGGCTTTCTTCCCGTCGCAGCTTTGGCGTCAAGCCAAGAAGCCACGGACAAGCTCTAGCCTTCAAGAACGCTTGAAATGCTTACGATCCTTACGAGCCGAATCGAAGGGTGAACTCAGCAGAGGACTGATGGCGATGGGCGGAATATCCAACAAAGGCACCGAGGATCAACACTGCAAGCGAGCGACAGTTTGACAGGCCCGCATCGAGCGTCGCTGGGGTTGCGCACTCGCTACTGTTCTAGAGTCGCCAAGTTGCGTTCGGCAAAGACGCACGAGCTGGGTCCAACGCGAGCGGCGAGATGACGAGTCGCCCTGCCCTGTTCCCCTTGCACATTGTCCGCATTTTTGGATTTTTATTTAGATCCTCCATGCAGCTCGCCTCCTAACCCTCCTGAGGGAAAAGAAAAATAGAAAAAAGTAAAGTAAAAAGGAAGAGGCCCTGAGGGTCGCAGCCCATGATGACGCTTTCCAACAGATGCGTGTGACGCAACAACGGCCAAGTCGACACGCTAGTCGTGCCAAGTATCGGCTTGAGCCCGCGTCAACCACACGCTCACTGTCACCAGCACGCTTTTCAGCCCTGGAGAAACCTCCCGAAACGCACGTTGTCGGCACAGCCGGCCTCGTCGGGCTGCGTGCTGTTTGCACATGCTGTTTGCACTGCAACAAAGCGTCGGCTTCTCCGGTAGCAAGGGATGTTGCCGCGTTGCAGCGTGGTGATGACCAGCGGCTGCCGACGAGCCGCTCAGATGCAAACCAGCTTGGCGTTGCAGCGGCAACGCTATATTTGGCATACCGCACATGCATCCTTTTGCCCCTCCTTGCCTGCAGTCAAGGTCGAGTCGGCTTCCAAAACGGCCCACGATTCGGCAGAATCTGGAGACCTCGGTGGCCGGTCCTGACGACATGGAAGCGTCCTATCCCCCGGGTTCAATTGTCTGTGAGCTTAGAAGCAGGGTCTCTGCCGCGGCCGACGTCATTTTCTCCATAGAGCTCTTCACCATCGCCGCGACGATGATGTTAAGGGTTCCAGGCATTGGCTAGCGCTACTGCTACGTGCACCCGACACTCATAACCCAACTGCATCAACTTGGACCATGCTCTTCGGCTTCTTGCCATTGACGTAACAGCGTTGGTCAGAAATCGTGGATCAAATTGATCAAGAGACGGTGCTCGTTAGGCTCTCTTGTCGAAGGGAAGAGATGCTATGAACTTGACACGGAGAAAACCAAGTGCATTCAGTACGACGCACGGACAGCACCACGATGAGCATCAGCGACATCCCCAGCGTACCTCTGCAAGAAGGCGACCTTGGATCGACACTCGTGCTGAGGCGAGCTTAAGCGAAGAGAGCTCCGCGCTTGACAGAGCGCGCGCATCGTCATCGTGCAGACCAGAAAGGCGAGATTTGCAGTTCCGTCGGTTGCGGCGTAACAAGATCCCGTAAAAAAATGGAGATCTACCGATTCACTGGTCCTTGTAACCACATCGGTCGATGGTTATTAGAGCTGACTGATAGCTCGCCTAGCACCTCTTCGCCCTGACCCTGGGCCGAACCCTGAAAGGCCCCGGCGAGCCTCATGCGTCTTCTTCTGAGATACCCGCACTCAGCTGCCATCGTTGCTGCTGGTGGGCAACTACGAGTGTCAAGAGAGTCGAGTAAAGGCAGGCCACGGCGATCTGCAGTGGGGGCTGTTGGGGGTTGTTGGGTGGGCGTCTTTGCGTCCCGCCAGGCTTTAATCGAGAAAAATGCACTTTGACCGCCGACTGCAGATTGGCTGCGTGGGGTGTGCATCGGGAGAGCCGCGCGCTCCCACGCCTCTCCTCTTTGCCAGGCGTGGGTGCCTGTTGACCTCGCATCGGTGGGAGAAAATTCGCATTTCGGAGCGCCTCGAGCAGTAGCCGCCGTTGGACCCAATCTCTCGAACCGACGCTTGCTTGCCGTCCACCGCTGCTCCTTCATCTCGCTGCCCTCGACGTCCACTTTGAGCTGCATAGGCGACTCCGACCGAGCATCGGACACATCAAGAAAGCATTCGGATCGCAAACAATAGCGTCAAAGCCGTCCTCTTCCTGGTGCAACTCGAGCGCGGTGGCTGCTCCCATCCCTCATGTCCTCGCCTCAACACTTCTACGGCTCGCTCTCCAGCGGCCGAGCCGTATCACCACCGCCAGAGTCTCGCTCAGATGAAAGGCGGGCTGCCAGTCCGCAGAGCCATCAGCTCGAGCAGGATCTCGATGCCGCCCGTCAAATGAGCAAGGCACGTGGTAACGACCCCAGCCCTCCGCGCGGCAGCTTCTCCGACGACCAGGCAGAGCCCTACTTCCACGAAGGCCTCAACAGGAGCCCTGCGGCCGTTCCTGTTCGAACTCCCGCACCACCCTCTTCAGCAATTGCTGCTCGCTTCTACCAGCACAATCGCAACGGCTCCAACACCAGCCTCGACAGCCAGCATCACTACATCGACCACCGCCACCAGGCACACTCGCTCGGCAATGTCCACTCGCCCTCCGCCCTGCGTACCCGTTCGTCGCTCTCGCGCACACCCATGCGTAGCCCCAATGCCTACTTTCCCTCCAGCCGCACCACCGAACACGCTTTGATCGACGACGACGAAGAGGATGTTGGTGGCGAGTCTTCCCACATCTCCCGCGGCCCCCAGCATGCGCGAGGCAACAGCCACCAGTCTCGCTCCATCCACTCGGAAGATCTCGTGCACCTCGACGACCACGATGACGAACCGCCCCGCTTCCTCCGTCGTGGCTCCGGCGCCGAAGACGACGTCTGCTTCCCCATGCACGACTCGCACACATCCGAGGGCCGTCCGCACGAGCCTCGTCCCGAGCAGCTGCACGCCGACGTTCGTCATGCCTACACTACACGACCCGACAACGGGGAGATGCCGCTCGGCTATCCGTTCACGTTTGACCTCGACGCCCTCGAGGAGTTTGCCTCGGAGGAACGCGACCGCATCGGCCTCGCGTCGTCGTACAACGCAGCCGCTTCGCCCGACCAAGTGCTTCGTCAACGCGGCGCGGCTGCACAGAAGCCTGCCGGCCCAGGCTACAGTATCTCGCCGGACAGCGATGACGCCACGTTCTACAGCCGCCGGCCGCGCAAGCTCAGCACCTCGGCAGGTGCATTCGGCAGCAGCAAGTACCAGCGCAAGCTCGCGCTCTTCGAAGGCGGCGGAAGCGCACCGCCTCCCGTGGCGGGCGCGGCTGCGTCCAACAGCATCATGGGTGGCTCCGCACTCATCACGGGCGAGGCAAAGCGCTCCGTCGACGTCAACACCCCGCTGCTCGACAACGACACGCTCCCATCCTACCATGGCGGCGCCAACACGGCTTCGCGCATCCACCCTTCCCAGTCCCAGAGCGGCTTCGGACCCACCACGCCAGGTGCAGCGGCACAGACGCGCGCCAGGTCGCAGACGGGCGCGTACAGCAACCGAGAAAAGCCGTACCGTTTCACGTTCTACTCGAACGCCTTACCGTCGACCATCCACGCACGCCACCTCTCGGAGCTCCCCGCCGATGGACAGACGTTCGAGGAGCTCTTCAGTGGTCGCAGCAAGAGCAGCGACCACTCGCCTCCCACCGAGGGCAGCCAGAGCCGCAACGCCAGCCGTGCACCCACGATCAACGCCGCGACGGCGCGCATGGCGTCGCTCGGCCAGACGTTTGGTCGCATGGAGGGCACCACTGCACCGCCCACGGGCTCCAACACGCCCGTCCACACGGGCGAGGAGGCGGCGAGGGCCATGAGCGGTCTCAGCGCCAGCAGGACCAAGGCGCTGCCGGGCGGGGGCATCCGCATGGATCCGGATCCGGAGGCCAACACGTGGTGGCTCGACGTGCTCTCGCCGACCGACTCGGAGATGAAGCTGCTGAGCCGCGTGTTTGGCATCCACCCGCTCACCACCGAGGATATCCTCATGGAGGAGACGCGCGAGAAGATCGAGCTGTTCCGCAACTACTACCTCGTGTGTTTCCGGTCGTTCGACCAGGATCCGTACAGCCCGACGTATCTGGAGCCGCTGAACATGTACATCATCGTGTTCCGCGAAGGTACGCTCTCGTTCCACTTCCGCGGCACGCCGCATCCGCAGAACGTGCGCAGGCGCATCAAGCAGCTCAAGGACTACATCAACGTCACGTCGGACTGGATCTCGTATGCGCTCATCGACGACATCACCGATGCGTTTGGTCCGCTGATCCAGTCGATCGAGTACGAGGTAGACTCGATCGACGAGCTGGTGCTCATCCTCAAGGAGGCCGAGCAGTCGGACATGCTGCGGCGCATCGGCACGTGCCGCAAGAAGGTGATGGGCCTGCTGAGGTTGATGGGCAACAAGGCGGATGTGGTCAAGGGACTCGCCAAGCGCTGCAACGAGAACTGGTCCGTGGCGCCCAAGTCGGACATTGGACTGTATCTGTCCGACATCCAGGACCACCTGATTACCATGACGCAGAACTTGAACCACTACGA